TCTGTTAACCCTGCATTGATCGCACTTTACACTTTAATTTTTTTTTTACGATAACCGCGGAAAGTTGTTTGCGACATTCTCGAGCGATTACGAAGCCCCGATTATTCGCGGCGCAGAAAAGCCAACAGCACATCTGAGCAACCTGGAGAAGAAACATCAAGGAAGTGCGTCTTTCAGCGTTTCTTCGAATAACGCGGTCGTAAAACCGGCAAAATCGCCGTTCTCCGAGCAGCTCCGAGGTCCGGACTCCGGAAACCGTTCGGGCCGGAGTGGGCCGGAGGAACGGCGTGTTTACTTGGCGATCACGCACGTCCGATATATAAGCGATATATTTCCGGCGGCGACGGCGGCGTGTGCAGCGCGTGCAGTGCAGCGTGTGTGTCGGAAGGTAAACAATAGGATTTGCCGACGACGTGCGACGAAAGGAGGAAAACCGTGATCGAGCTAGGGTGAGGTTTTTATTTTCGGCGAGAAGACGTCTTCCCCGAGGACGGCCGTCGACGGATCGGACGAGCGTGGACGAGCGCGGACGAGCGCGGAGACACGGCGAGCGTCAACGCGAGACGGAACCTAACCTCGTCGTGCCACGCCACGCTGCGCAAGTATGAGACTGGCCTCGCGGAGGATCGTGCGAGCGGTGCCGCGAGGATGAGAGCTGCCGACCGTCTCGTTCCGGGGACGACGACGACGACGACGTGCGAACGCGAGGGACGAGCGCCGTCGAACGAGCGCCGATTCGCACGTGATCGGTGTCAGCGCGGCGTGGCTGGCGCGAGCGAGGACGGAAGGATGTGCGACAAGTATGTCATCGGGTACTGGGTGCCCGAGAGGAAGCGGCAGAAGTTCAACTGGACCGATTTCGAGAACATATGCGAGTCCGAGGGGTTTCGGTTGAAAATGGTGAGCGGCTGGCCACCGGCGTGGCTTGTTTCCGCGACGCGGAGGAACGGTCGAGATGCGTTATTCTCTCGGCGACATTAATCTCCATGTGTTTCGAGGAACGTTGTGAAAAATAAATAATGATACGCTGGCCCACGCGCGAAAATAATTTTCTCTAATTTATATATTGTAACTAAAAAAAAGAGAGATTTGTGTGCATATATTACACGTAGTATATTTTTCTTGTTCTCATTGCAAGGTGCAATACTCTGATTCTAGCGTGGGATGGAGTGAAGTTACATGGCACGTGGTCTCTCAACTTTCCTTATTCTCATTCTTTATTATTCACAAATGTATAGTTTTTATATATATGTAATGTGTAGATTAAACGTATGTTTGTCTACATTGCAATAGGCTCAGGTCCATGGTTTTGCTAGGCCCAAATCACTGTGCGAATAAGTCATCCCTGCAGAATCTTTCTCTTTTGATACACGTATCAACGTTCCTTCCATTCGATAATTTTTTTGCATTATTTCTGCAGATGCTATATTGAGGAGCGTTTCTAATGTCTTTGAATCTTTTATCTGTGTTTTAGATCGACGTGAATCTAAGCTTCGAGAAGCAGGGACCATTACACGTTTTCCTACACAAGCTGACAGATATGCAGTCGCATGCGGAAAGTGGTGATAAAAATGTATGTTCAGGGCAACATTTACTTTGTTTGGGTTGTCAAAGATTCTATAACGTATCTCTTTTACAGGCTGAGGATATTGTTTCGCGACTTCAAGAGTACATTGCCAAGCATCCAGATTTGATCGTTATCGATCCTCTGGACAATATTAGGAACTTAAGCAATCGGTGTAAATCTTACGAATTTATACAGGAAGGCTGTCGGTTGAAAGGTATGTATTTATAATACGTAGGTATAGTTACATAAGTATGAACTCCACAGGAATTGAGCTAAATGTTTAACATTTAATTATTTATTTTTTCAGATATATTTACTCCTAATTTTGTAGAAATCAAAAGCAGAATGCTCCATGAGATAGCAGCAACATTAAAAAAGCGTGGCATTAAATACCCATTTGTTTGTAAGCCGCTTATCGCGTATGGTTCGAGCGACGCGCACAAGGTAAATATTTCGCGCAAGATATCTACGAAAATGTCTGAAGCAAATAAAGTGCTTGATAAAAATTACTCTTAACTTTCTAATTTCAGATGATGATTATCTTCAACGAAAGGGACTTGAAAGACTGTCAACTACCTTGCGTCGCTCAGGATTTCATCAATCATAACGCTATTTTATATAAGATATTCGTTGTGGGCGATCGTTTCCACGTGGTCGAGCGCCCCAGCTTTAAAAACTTTTACCAAGAAGACTGTAATTCGTTGAGTACAATATTCTTCAACTCGCACGATATATCGAAAAGCTGCAGCAGATCCAAGTGGTCTATATTGTCCGAAGAAGACATTCCTTTAACTGTAAAGCCAAATTACCAAATATTCGAAACAATTGTTAAGAATATTCGAGAGATATTTGGTCTTATTCTAGTTGGGATAGATGTTGTAATTGAAAATCACACTGGGAAATACGCGATAATAGATGTTAATGTGTTTCCCGGATACGACGGCTACCCGAATTTTTTTGAACATTTAGTAGATAGTATTAAGAAGTTGTTGATAGGGCGAGGTGTTTGCAGACAAAACTCCAAGGGTTGTACGTTGAAAAAGTGTCAGAGTGACGATCTAGATTCTGGCTTTGAGAGTGACGAGAAGAGGAAATGTTCCACAAAATGAATATGTAATATGTGATAGATAATGTTAATTTTAGGCAGAACTAACTATTAGTATTAATCGCGGCGATAGGATGAGTATAACGGCATTGTTATTTTGTATTCGTCTATACATTTTTCTAACAAGATTCGGCTCTCTTTGTTACAACTTCTCGCGGTTTAATTCTTATTGGTTATAATAATTGTTTGATATTAACAATAAGTTTTGTATTACAATGTGAATCATCGCTTGGCGCATCGCTTGTTTCGTAGACACGTACGAAATACGAACGATAATGTATTGTTACGCGAATTCGAATCTTATATTTTGTAATAAATCCCAGTACAACATGACTACGACTGCCAGAGAAGATATTTTGTACGTTTTACGTGTATACAATTTTGCATTTCTGCGACGATGTTATACATGCCCGTGAGCTGTTGAAGATATTAAGTATGTATATAATGAAGAGTATGCGGCGCGGTACAGAATATACAAGCGTAGAAACAATCGGAATAATCGCGACAACGTGAATAGAACAATTTTAATATTTACAGACGATTAAATTAGTGGCTAGCTATCATTTTTAATGCTTTTTTTTTTTTATAAATATCAATCCGGTTAATAGACAATATTACGACATTCTGTTTATTACTTTTGTCGCAATTATGCCGATTGATTCTAAACATCCCAAACATTAATAATGTACAAGTTATCTCATTTTGAGTGTCCATCTGGAGTATCAATTTATTTTTCGAATTTCAGAAAAAGATGTTTCGAATACAAGTTTTTATGATTTTAGAAGGGAAATATACCTGGCGATGGAGTTTTTACAGCGTTCGTTGTAAAATGGTGCATAAACTTTTCGTCTTACGCATCGTGTTTACATCTCAAAATTATGGAACTCTTTATCTGAAACATTTTTTTGTCCCAAATGAGAAACTAGCGAAATATTCAAGATCGGCATTTATATATAGCGTGGGGCAATCTGTATTTATACAAGTTCATAATTCCTGTAATATATATATTTTATTCAGTTACGCTGTATAATACGGAGTATGATGTCAACCGTTTACTTATTTATATGTACATATATTTTATATGAATATAAATTGTACAGAGAAGCAAAACGATCATGTAAATCTGACCCGACGAGGTGATAATCTCGATGAAAATGATGGATTAAAATACGCAATAAAATCTATATTTACTTTCATGAAAAATGACGTTTTAATATTTAAATTGCAAAAATTGGGGGCATACTCGGTATCTCAATGCTCATATACCGTCCGTGTGCACGTGTCTCGAAATTATGTATGTATACGTGTCCAGTCCAGAAAGAATCCAGAATTTCCTTCAGAAATAATAGTTTGACTTTTGCCTCTCATAAAAAATTGATTAAATTTGACTTTTGTCTCTCGTGAAAAATTTACTCGATTAATAACTTTGACTACATTTTATTTGCATTCCTAGCGATTTTTTGCACTCAAAACGAGTATAGATATAAAAATACAAGAAAAAAATAGAGAATCCGAGTAAGAAAGACGCAAGCGAAAGGAACTGGGCCTCGTGTTTCCTTGATACCTGAACGAGGCGATACACGCGTGCGCGTGTCTCGACAGTCGTTCATTCGCTCGAGAATACACAACAGCGAAGGTAACCTCTTCAAAACTCGAACCTGAGAGGTGCTGAGAGGTACGCTTATTCAATCTTGCGTAAGCCCGGTTTCTGAAGACTAGCTATTCTTCTAGTTTCGTTTACGTTGTAACTCCACAAAGAATACCGATTGTTTGCAGCTTCGGTTCCCTGAGAATTATTGTTCGCCACGTCAATCGCTGTCGCGGCATAATGTTTCTCGTCAAGGAGGGAAACGAGGTTCTCGTCGTGTCAGGGAACGACGTGCCCTCGAATGACATGACAGATTTTATTGCCATGATCAAGCAACACGTCGGAGATTCCGGCAAATTGCAAATTGCAAGTTTATCAGATTTAAATAAAGGTGAGTGTACGTTATACTCCACGTTTCATTTACCTGGTTTTTGTGACGTTGAAAATTCATGTTGGTTGTAATGCTAATCTATTCTGTATTCTAGAACATGTTACGCAAGGTTTTCGAATAGCTGGAAAAAGTTATGGTGACTCTACGTTTGACGTCGTCATTGCAATTTTTAAGCAATTCTTCACGAACGAGGATTTCTTAGCTGAAGCATTGAGAATTCTGAAACCCAACGGTTTGCTCGTCATTCGTGAACCGCTACCAAATAGAAAGCCAGGCACACATTTGTATTCCGACAGAATATCTAGCTTGAAATTATCTGGTTTCAAAGTAAAAGATACAGACCCGAAGGACTTCGATCTGGAGAGTACAAATCTTTTGCTAAAAGTATATAGCGATGTAAAAGAAGTTGGCACAGTATCGGCGAGTAAACCATCATTTGAGGTAAATTGATTTCTTTTATTTGTATGTGAAGGTAACATTCAATGGAAACCTTTCACAGCTTTCTGTTATAATTTAGGTGGGTTCCAGTATTCCCCTTTCATTCGCAAAAAAGGCAACTAATGTATGGAAATTAGATGACCCGGTAGAAGAAGATTTAATAGATGAAGATGAACTTTTGGATGAATCGGACCTTGTAAAGCCAGATGCGTCATCCTTAACAGGTGAGATGTTCGTTATATTAAATTATAACAGAAAACTATGCAAGGTTTCAAAGAAATACGTATGTCATTTCTATTTTGTTTACAATTTGGACAAAGAGAATTTGTGAATTTGTGTAACACAAACATATCTATCTACATATCTAATACTTTCAGTCTGTGCGACAACGGGCAAGCGAAAAGCGTGCAAGGACTGTTCATGTGGACTCGCAGAAGAGTTAAGTGGCAAAGATGCACCGGAAAACACTGTTAAATCTTCTTGTGGAAATGTACGTTTCATACTACTACTTTTTTTCCGAAATTCATCAAAGTGTCATATTTAATTATGTAACTGTATAAATTTAAATGTCACATTTTTATGTTTTATTTAGTGTTACCTAGGAGACGCATTCAGATGTGCCAGTTGTCCTTATCTTGGAATGCCTGCCTTCAAACCCGGGGAAAAAGTGCTTTTGCCTGAAACTCAGCTAACTGTAGATTCTTGAGTTTGTTTTCTCTTTATTGGAATACAATTGTAATAACCTGACCTAACGCGATTCGTTTTTATTTGTGCAAGTAATTACCCTATTTTTGTATGATTCTAATCATAAATTTAAATTCTATTTCAAGTATTTCTGTTGTATACGTCTACATATTATGTACAAAATAGATAAAATGATTGTTCTTTTAATATATATAAAAGTGTACTTAAATTACAATTCAGTCTTATTTCATATCCTTTTTCTCAATAAGATAATCGTATAAATAAAAGATAATTGTTAGTAATAACAGCAATACCAGATTAAAAAAAAAGTCTATATTTATATAATAGTTACTTAAATTCTATCTTAAAAACATATAATACAAGGTAAAATATTTGGTATTGAGTGCGAACGGTTCAATAATCCTCTTTCTCTCATATTCATTTTTGTAAAAGATTCCAAGCATTTTTCAACACATCATTCATAATTTAGAAAGTGAGAAAAGAGGATATAATTGCATAACTCAACGAAAAAGAAGTAGTTTCGAAAAACGACATATGACGCTAGACAAATTTTAAGATATATTTTTATGTTGGCGATACTATATATATGTATTCTTTAACGAAAGCATGGTCTCTTCTAAAAAATTTAACGATAAAAAGTTTTA